AAACCTGATTTTAAAGGATGACACGCCTATTTTTAAAAAGGCTTATGAGGTGCCATTGAGATTACGGCAAAAAATGATTGAACATTTTGAGTTGTTGGAAAAAGATGGTATAATTACACCAGTGAGTGGGCTTTGCCGGTGGTAGTTGTTTTAAAAAAGGATCAAAGTATTAGGCTTGTTATTTACTGCAAAGTTTATATTAATAAGCTTATTATTCCAAACACGTACCCTGTGCCATTTCCACAGGATTTATTTGCTACTTTGTCGGGTTCAAAAATTTTTTGTACCTTAGATTTGGCTGGAGCGTACTCGCAGCTTTTGCTTTCAAAACGATCCAGGAAGTTCATGGTAATAAACACCATCAAAGGTCTTTTGTCTACAACAGACTTCCACAAGGAGTATCATCTAGTGCTGCATTTTTTCAAAGGGTCATGGACCAAGTTTTACAGGGTTTAAAAAACATCTACTGTTACCTAGATGACGTACTTATTGGCGGAAAAGATTAAGGTGACAGTAGAAAACAACTTTATTTAGTTCTAGAAAGATTGGCTAGATCTAATATTAAGGTTATTCTAAAAAAAATGCCAGTTTTTTGTAAATAGGTTGCCGTATTTGGGTCACATCTTGACTGAAAATGGTCTTTTGTCGTGTCCCGAAAAAATTCAGACAATTCGTGAAGCGAAATGTCCGCAAAATGTGTCAGAATTAAAGTCCTTTTTAGGATTGGTTACTTAATACTCAAAATTCATCTCAAACCTATCTTCCCGAGTAAGAATTTAGTACGGTCTCTTAAAAAAGGACATAAAATTTGAGTGGTGTTTAGAATGCGAAACAGTTTTTAATCAATGCAAACAATTTCTTCTAAAACCAAAGGTTTTGGAATATTTTGACCCTGAAAAACCAGTGATTGTAACTGATGCTTGTAATTATGGTTTGGATGGAGTTATTGCTCATGAAGTAAATGGTGAGGAACGACCAATCTATTTTACATCTTTTTCTATTAACGACGCCCAGAAGAAATATCCCATTATTCATTTAGAGGCACTGGTAGTGGTTAGCACGGTAAAAAAAATCATAAATATCTCTATGGTAAGAAATTTACCATTTTTACTGATCATAAGCCACTGATTGGCATTTTTGGAAAAGAAGGATGAAACTCTATGTCAGTCACGAGACTACAACGCTATGTCTTTGAGCTTTCCATTTATGAATATGATATTGTGTATAGACCCTCTTCCAAAATGGGAAACGCGGATTTTTGCTCACGTTTTCCTCTAGCTCAACAAGTGCCCAGAGAATTGGATAGAGCATACATTAAAAGTTTAAAATTTACTGAAGAGTTCCCAATCAACTATAAGATAATCGCAGAAGAAACTAAACATGATGATTTTTTGGTGAAGATTTTTGGATATTTGTGGAATGGATCGACTAGAAAGGCGTTTTCTAGATGTGTATGCACATTACCAGGATCTGGAAGAAGTAGACGGTTGCATTCTTTTCCAAGATAGGGTGGTCATTCCAGATTCTATGAAAAGGAATATTTTAAAAATACTTCATCGGAACCACTCAGGAATGCATAAAATTAAACAGCTGGCCAGGAGAACCGTCTATTGGTTTGGAATGAATGTCAACATAGAAGATTTCGTCAAATCTTGTAGAATTTGCCATGAAACTAACTCGATTTCTAAACGACCTCCTTATTCACCGTGGATTCCTACAAATAAACCATTCAGCCGAATTCACGCTGATTTTTTTCTATTTTGAGAAGTAGATTTTTTTAGTTGTAGTAGATAGCTACACAAAATAGGTCGAAGTGGAACTAATGAGATTTGGTACAGATCATAAAAAAGTCATAAAAGTTTTCATTGGCATTTTTTCAAGGTACGGATTACCTGACGTCTTGGTCACAGATGGAGGCCCACCGTTCAATTCAGAACATTTCATCAGTTTCTTTGAAAAGCAGGGTGTTATTGTCAAGAAGAGCCCTCCGTATCATCCCGAGAGTAATGGACAGGCGGAAAGGATGGTCCTATTGGTGAAGGATGTTCTAAAAAAGTTCTTACTGGATCCAGAAATTGGACATTGATGAACAAATTTATTATTTTTTAATGAATTACAGGAACATCTGCCTAGGAAAAGATAGTAGTTTTCCCTCAGAACGTCTTCTATCATATAAACCAAAGACAACACTTGACTTGATTAATCCTAAACATAGTTTTAAGCACAATTTAACGAATACACATGATGATAACCGTGACGCACATTATACAGACAGCACATCTAATCTGTTTACTAATTTGCGGAAAGGGGATCTGATTTACTATAAAAACTTAAACAAGACAGATATAATACAGTGGTTGCCTGCAGAATTTTTAAGACACATTTCTGTTTACTAATTTGCGGAAAGGGGATCTGATTTACTATAAAAACTTAAACAAGACAGATATAATACAGTGGTTGCCTGCAGAATTTTTAAGACACATTTCTCCCAACATTTTACAGGTTTCGCTCGGCGGACGATTTATTTCGGCCCATAGGCGCCAAATCACAGTTCCTCTTGACTCTCGGGGGAAAGTCGGAAACGATTTGTTTTTCATGAAGAGATTCCAAATGTATCAGTACAGCTTTTTGAAAATGACAACAGCAACAACCACAAAAACAACAATTACAGCGAATCACAAAATGAAGGATGAGAAGCAGCATGTTCAGATTTTTTCCGTTACGCAGCCGATTCGAATCGGCTGCGTAACCGAAATAATCTGAACATGCTACTTCTCCTCGATCGTGTCTGTTCAAGGAAGATTTGGTTCCAAGAAGGAGCTTTCAAGTTACTCAGTCCTACAATAAACGACAAAGAGAAGAAGCTGGAGAGGAAGATTCGGATTCGGATTTTTATGGATTTTCAGCGGATTCGTTCGTTTATCAAGAAGATACTGCTTTTGAGGAAGTTGGTCAACCTTCACATGCAGTAGAACCAGCAAGAAGGTCAAAACGACGAACGAAGAAGCGAAGGAAAGATGGGTATATGTACTACTGAAGATTATACTTGTTCGAAGATATTGTAAGTCTAAATTGAATTTGAATTGTTGTTAACGCAAGTTAGATTTGCTTTCTGATAATATTGAAATGAATTTTAAATTTTGAAAATACTGAGTCATTTCTTATGGAAGGAGGAGTTGTGGTGGCAAGATTAGAAGTCCCCACTTTCTGTGAAATGAGTAAACGATATTTCCTCTCACGAGAAATGAGCAATTGGGTAGAAGGGTATATAGCGTACAATTGAAGGAAGAATAAAGGTTATCAACTTTGTGACTCGAAGCTTAAACAACGCGTGTGTTATTTTCTAGATCGTAAAGAAAAGTATTTTATTTGAAAAGTACAAATTTAACAGATATAATACACTCTTTAATACTTTGACTATATGTTTTTAGTATTACTTCTACGTGAAGTCAACGATTTACATAGTTGAAGATGCTAATTTCAAATAACAGACTGTAGTGGTAATTTTTATACGATAGATGGAGTAGATGAAAGCATAGAGTTGATAGTTCCGTTAGAGTACGGCAGTGTGAAGATTGTATATATATATTAGACAAGCGAGCTAGGACAACTTTTAAGGAAGGTACAAATCGGTTTTTTCATCTCTCTTTACCAAACTCCCCCTTTGGAGAGGGATGGTGAGGGGTGTCCCCCCCCCCCAGTGCCAGTGGTGGCGGGGGGGGGGACACCCCTCACCATCCCTCTCCAAAGGGGGAGTTTGGTAAAGAGAGATGAAAAAACCGATTTGTACCTTCCTTAAAAGTTGTCCTAGCTCGCTTGTCTAATATCTATATACAATCTTCACACTGCCGTACTCTAACGGAACTATCAACTCTATGCTTTCATCTACTCCATCTATCGTATAAAAATTACCACTACACTCTTTAATATTTGTTGTTGTACGTCTCCAAACTTGGTACAAATGTTATAATTTATCATCTCGAAACATATTTTTGCCTGTTTGCCAATTTTTAAGATTTGTCTGGTTCTAAAAGACCTTCCAGACAAGTTCCAACACAATGGCATTAGTTTTGTACAGGCGTTGAAAACTTCAAAATGAACTTTTGTCCCATCTTACTCTATTGATCAAAAATACTGAAAAAGATTTTGTGTTGAATTACTCTATAATTTTGCAAATAACAGCACCAATATTTATAGATTTGTGCTTTTTCGCTGCTTGGTTACCCTCAAGGAAATCAAGGAAAAAAAATACCCTAATAAAAATACCATACCCGAGCGATAACCCAAATGATAGAACTATTCCACAAATGGTTTGGATGATACCCTGCAGTAACATGTCCTTAAACAAAATATTGATACACTACTCTAATTTATTAGGGCAGTGTATCAATACCGAGTTTTTATTAGTACCGTTAAACGGGGTATCTTTGATAATGTGGGTATCTCTGATAGTATAATATAATGATTAAATTTACCTTCTGCACTATTTATTAATTGAAAACATTGGTTCTATTTTGTAGCTTACACAGATAAAAATTCTGAATTTTAATAGTGATGCAAACCTTCATTCACGTAAACTTGTATCATGGAACCGAGCAACTTGTAAACAATGTTGTTACAATAATGGGATTCTGTATACAATATTTGCTTCATTGCATGAAATGTCTCAGAACTTTTCATGATATATAATGTAAACTTATTTGATATGTGATGCTCGATTTATGGCATCATACTGAACAGAAATTTACGCTTCTTTTTTTAACAGTGTAGTTCACTGTTGCAAATAACGAAAGGAATTTATTTCAGTTCAGAACTTAAGTTTTCATTTCAATTAAGTAAAAGCGTATCTAAGATTACATAGGATAACGCTCGATTCAAAATTGCACAGTGACATACGATTCGTTGACATTGTTCAGCAGGTTTTTGCTGCTATAAGCATGCGCTATATTGGGATAGTAATTCTAATCGATATTTTCATTTCAAAACATGGAGTAGACAATTTCTGCACTGTCTGTCTAAACTACTGATCACATTTTGGAAATCTGTGTTATTTTGTGAAATTAAGTGCCTATTAAGAGAAGTGAACAACTGATATTGTATCAACTGTGTAATTGAGTAGATTGATTTGGGAGCATATCATACAGAAACAAAACATCAAAGTGGACTCATTGTGCATTAGTTTATTCATATTTTGTTTTTTTTTAACGTCATCCAGGTGAGTGGATTGGATAAATTTCATGGATATTATAACAGCGAGAATGTGTCTGTAGAACTAAAGTATAATTATAGAATTTATATCACGGTCGGCTAGTGCTACCGATAGCTACTCGGTAAATGTCACGGTGGCTTTACTTTTTACTATTGGATGAATAAATTTACCCTTTGTCACCTTTTTACTTACACACCAAAAAATTATGAATTTTAATGGTGATGTATATATCCATGCATGCTAAAATTGAGGCATGCAAACTTCCTTTTCACGTAAACTAGCAACTTGCAAGAAATATTGCTTACTAAGATGGATGGTTGGATACAATATTTAGAATATTTCATCAAATGACTCATAAATTTACACGATCTGTAATGTGAATTTGTATGATATGTGACGCTCCATTTATGTGCATCATAGTGAAAGAAATTTACACTACTTTTTCGAACTGTTTATTTATATGACTTTGATATATAATATTTTTTACAGACCTGCCCAAGTAACAATTTTGGTTTTATGCGGGTTCTGTAGATCATGATTTTGACTTGTAGAATGCTATAAAACCTCGATAAAACCTGCAATGTTACTTGGGTGAATATATTATATATTCAAACTATACAAGTACCTCTAGGTAAAATATGAAATAATGGGGCTGATTTTAAGAAATATCAAAATGAAATGTCTTATACGTTTAAGCTGGTACATAAACCAGGTCTAACACATAGTGTAAAGTAGTTCGCTATATATTATTATTATGATGTACTCCTGTTATGACATATGGAAATCCTATATGTAATATATTATATGTTCTTAATAAGATAGGAGCATACAACAAATATGATGCCTACTCTTCTATCACATATCCCTCGAATGAAGAAAGTATATATCTAAGAGCTGGACGTAGGGCGTAAAAAACTTTGATAACTATGACTTCTCTAGTTGATTTCTTGGAATTGGAACACAAACCAACATATCCATCGGGTACGAGAAATCTTCCTCTACTCGATGGGGATGTCGATTTGTCATGACTTTCGAGAAATCATCGAGAGACGTCATTGTTTACAAAATCTGTTACGCCCTAATTCCAGCTCTATCTAGATATGTAACATTCAAAAAAATAGAGTGGGTGAGCCAGCAGTGGAAAAAGTTAAACAATCTGCATATAATATACGTCTTTAACTTTCAAACTCGATTTTGCCAGAAAAATATTACATTGTGATTAAATTGCATGCATTTTTCGAAGTCTCGCCCTTCACACTGTTCCAGTAATTAACTTTGGTACCTTTAATAGTGGCACGCTTTGGTTTCTAATGGATTCCACTATTATAAGAACACATCCGCACTTTAATCGCAAAGTAGTCAACATTTAAAATTAATTGCTGTCGTAATTTTGGCTTTGGTAAAATTAAAGTTTCAAATATGCAAATCTACTTTATATTGGAGATTAACCGATGAAAAATAAACTTATCTGGTTGTCAACCAATATCGCGGCATAAACCCCATACCGCAATTATAGGCCACTACTCTGTACGTTATTTGTTTTGAAATCCGTTAGTTCGCTATTAACTTGTTAATGTTCATTTTGGAGCATTTCCTGCTCAAAACGGTGACCAGAGCTGACAAATGTCATTTCAATGAAAGATCTCACGCGATATTTACAGAGATACTCCTGTCACTATCATCAGATGAGAAAACGATGATAGAGATTTTCTTCAAAATCTCATCGAATTTTTCGTCATGACAAAACGTGACAGTGTTGTGATTATCGTAATTACTAGCTCATTTATTAATTTTAAAGTTACTTGTACCGAAAAAATCGTAATAATATATTCACTCTACCGATAACATACACACTTAATCTAGCTCGGTAAAATCTCCAACAGCCGATTACCTCGGCATTTACTTTTGCAGACATCTCTGAAAAATATCTGTTTGTTAGCTGATATCTCAGCAAAATGTTATTTGTTAGCTGAGTCTCGGCAATTGTTTCACTGAATCTCAGTAAAATAAATTGCAGAACTGCTCGGCTGTTGGAATCCCGGCGAAAATATTTAAGTGTGTACGGTTACATGCTTGAATTCAAGAGCAAATTTTCATTACGTCGAATGTAACAAAGGTAAACAAAGTCGAGCTATCAGTGTCAATCTATGCTCCTGCTATTACACTATATACTGTCCAAATATAGGATCACATCCCATTTTTAAATTTATTTACCAGTCGAATTGCTTTTTGACGTAATCGCCTTCCGATCAAAATAATTTCGATGTTACTTAAGTCACCCGATTTCTATGGAGATGCCGTTGGCCTTAAGTCACAGCACTGAGAAACCCGTGAAAAGTGTACTTTCGTCGTTTTGCTTTCTCATTATTAAAGTGAATAAATCGAACTGTTTGTTGGTAAGATGATTTCGGTGGTCCTAAAATGATGAATGGGCTGCACGTAAGGAGACGTAATTGATAATTCTCCCGAATATCCTGGTAAAAACACTTTGACTTAAGTAACAATAGGGGCCACCAAACGACGTATAATAAATTTTGACTCAAAAACCAGCATTTCTTAGCATGAAAGCTAGCGATTTGCCTTTGTATGATTAAAACCCGGCTAAATATGTTAAACATTGCTATCACTATGAGAGTAGGTATATGTGTTTAATTGGAAATAGGAATAACTTTTCGGTCATCAAAACAAAACTTTATTTTTCTCGGATCGGTGCGAATGTTACTTACGACATAATGAAGATTTGCTCTTGAATTAATCTAAATCAGTTAGAAATGTACACACTTAGAAAAATTCATGTAAATTTAGGTGCTCTGAGAGTGACATATACGAGCGTTATTTTTGACATAAAGTGGAGTCATAACAGACGCAAAATAAAGCTCAATCAAACGTGCTTTTCGTCGATCAACGAACTTTTCAGTCTTGGAGCACTTAATATTACATGAAATGTTTGTTTACGTCTCATATTTTATGTCAAAGATGGATTCCGTCACGTGTAAAATTAGTTATTTCTAAGAGTGTAGATGTAAAAACCGTAATAGAGTTATTCTCATGAGTGCTTGATCATTGGAAAATTACAAGAAAACGAATGATAGGTAGTTTCGTCTCGTGATAGTGACGGTGGTGATATTTACCAGCTTTGACGGTGACATTAAGGGTTTCTTTAGCGGTGGTCAAATCTAGATCCAAATTGATATAAAATTTGAACCAGCTAAAATAAAATAGATCATGCCAAAATAGATCCACCTGTGCGCGTACACACCGGTTGGTCTAGTTAGCCGTTCTATTTCAAACGTCAAAACCCGAGTCAAAACCAACTCACTCCCTGATTTCGTGGTCAGCAATATTTTCCCGCTAAATTGACCGTCTGCGGGTGTGATATGTATCTGTAACCCTCCGTTACTCGCGCCAACTTTTGTAACACGAGTACTCGCGCGTTGTACTTTGTACAACAGTGTAAGTTTTCCATTGCCATTTTGTAGCCGAGCTATCAATCGATATGAAACCAACGGTTATTCCTTAAAAGACTTGTTTTTAACTAAACAAGCTAAACTTTTATCACAGTTAACCCCCAAACAATGCGGATAATAGAGAAAATGTGAATGGAAACCGCGTAAACGGTGTCGGTACTACGAGGGATTTGACTTAATTGGTTACAACATGGAAAATCTCGAGATCCTGACCAGATAAAAAATTACTGTCTTCCGGAAAGTTGTTCTAGAGATCATAACCTTTTTGCTGGTGGAGAGTAGTTCAGAAATTTCTCACTACGTGGCGCTAGTATATACGTGCAATTTTTGCATCTACAATAGCTCGAGTTCCCAACCAGATAGAAAGTTACTGTCTTCGGCAAAGCTGTTCAGGAGGTGAAGGCCTTTTTGCAGGTAGACAGTGGTTCAGATTTTTCTCACTAGGCGGCGCTAGTGTACACGTGAAAATCTCATATTTAATATCTCGAGATCCTGACCCGATAGAAAGTTACTGTCTTCGGCAAAGCTGTTCAGGAGATCACAATTTTTTGCTGGTAAACAGTTCAGAATCTTCTCACTAGGTAGCGCTCGTATGCATGTTAAGTTCTCGCATGTGATACATCCTGACCAGATAGAGAGTAAATGTCTTTGGCAAAGTTGTTCAGGAAGACAAGATCTTTTCGTTGGTGGATAGTTGTTCAGAATTTTCTCACTACGCGGTGCTAGTATACACATGCAATTCTCGCATATACAATAGCTCGAGATACTGAGCAGATAGAAAGCTACTATTTTGGGCAAACTTGTCCAGGGGGACAAGACTTTTTGGATAGTGGACAGTAGCCCAGAATTCTCTCACCATGTGGCGCTAGTAAACGTGTACAGTTCTCGCGTATGCTATAGCTCGAGATCCTGAACAGGTAAAAAATTACTGTCTTCGAAAAAGTTGTTCAATGCCTATTGCTTGGTGCACAATAGTTCAGAATGTTCACACTACGTGGCGATAGTATACACGCAAAATTCTCGCATGTAAAATATCTCGAGATTCTGTATATATGTGCAATTCTCGCTTTAGATATATTTTGAGACCTGCTAAACGGTCATCGAAAAAGTTGTCCAGGGATCAAAACTTTTTCGTTGGTCGACAGTACAGCATTTTCTCACTACGCGGCGCTAGGATATACGTGAAATCTTCGCATATAGTATATCTCAAGAACAGCTAGAAATTTACTGTTTTTGGCTAAGCTGTTAAGGAGGTTAAGATTATTTTGGTTGATGAAAAGTAGTAGTAAAAATTTCTAAAAACTTTGCGGGCAATTCTCGCATATCAAATATCATAAAATAAAAATACAATTTACATCAGCCAAAGTGGGATAAGACAAATATATTCTGGATTTCTTTTACTGGTGAAGATTTTCATGCAGATTTGTGGATACATATATTGGTGTGCGTCTTCACCTTGTATACCTCTGATAAATTAGTGGTAACACGTATCTCAGATGGAAAACATTATCTTAAAAGATCAATATCGCTGAAACATCC